TTAATTCTTAAGACTGCTTAAGACTACAAGCTATGAAATTATCAAATAAAGATGACAGTGATTGATATTAATCAATCACTGTCAATAATTATTTTATATTTCGTTAGGTATTTGGCTGTATCTATTTGCTGTTCATGGGAATTAGGCCAGATACACGCTACTTACATTTAACTGAATATTAATAGTAAGTACAATTATAATTCCGTATATTTTTTTTTATTTTTCGTACAGCGATAAAGCAACTCTTAATAAGTTTTTACACGAAACTTGTGCGTATCTTCCATTAATTACTTCAATAATCATCTAATTTCAAGATTTTTTATGATGTACAGGAAAATGACGATTACGTCCCGTTATTACGATTCGTATCGTAACAAAGATTATGTCTATTACTGGTATGCATCAAACACGGCATAATGATTTCGCCGTAATTACTACAACGAAAAACAATTCGTTAACGCATCGTTTATAGCGCGAGATGCAATAAACGAGTTAACAGAGACTTATTGCGGTTTGCTAAAATAACCGGGGAGCTTAATTATTCTTGCATATACATTATACATTTATATTATGTATTAATACGCGAAAAAACTTTATACTCCTTATGAAGCTTACTACGCGCACGAACGAATGTGGGATTTGGTATAGTTAAATTTTATGTCGAGAAACAGAACAAGAATTTAGATTTTAAAGCAGGAAGTTTTTAAATTACATCACATGAAATTATAAAATAAAATGTTCTTTATTTAAGATCATACCATTAATTCAAAAACAGTGTTGCACCTGTGGTCAAACAGTGTTGCAGAGCAGAGATTCTCTATTATATTGTCACGAAAGAGTTTGAAAATGTTTTATTGAATGAATGAGTTGCCAGATAAAAAATATGATTTTATGAATTACAGTTCAACCCAATAAATAAGCATAACCATATAAGTAATGCTTATCAAACATATATTGATTAATTTCATAAAATAATCCCCCTCGTTGGTGAACCATCCTTGCTATGTTTTTTACAGAACAAAGTATGCTATTTAAATATATCCGTTTCCATAATGTGTTCAAGAAATTTTATTTGTCAACAATTATTCTCGTCGATTCACTCTTGCCTTAATCAATTTTATTTTTATTGTCTTTAATTCATTGGTAATCACGATTATACAGGTGCTTAAAAATTTTACATCAAATATTTTTTCCATGATTGCCTGTACCACTTATTCTGTGACTGGTTGGTGTAAACATCTTGCTAGCTCTTCCTGAGTATATATAAAAAAATATGTTCATTTGTTACTGCAATCCAAAAACGTTTAAACGTCAGTGTCATAGAAAGCTAGCGAATAACATCGCCAAAGAGAATGTAATCACATTCTCTTTGGCGAATATCATCAAATCTGGTTATATCCAAAGTCCATTTTTTTTGTACAATACAATATATAATATAGAAAATATTAGAGTATCAAATTTGGAAACCCTTCTTAACTAGCGTACGAAGCATTTTCTTTCTGTTTTGAAAATGAAAATATTTCGTAGACAATGCTTTTCCTTCTTTGTATTTTATTTCTTTTTCGATCTATAATAAAGATAAAATATTATATAGTTCATATTAGAACCTTAGAATAATTTTAAACATTTATCCTACTGTAAGATAAACATTATCAGGTAAGCAAGTTTTATCTACACACTATCAGAGAGACAAACACCCAGATCCAGAACAACTATCTATATAAACAAATAAATTCCAAAAATCTATACAAATATTCTTTTTGGGGAAAATTTGCCCGATGTGGAATCGAACCCACAACAATGGCTTAGTAACTACGCCAATCAAGTTTTCGACTTAATTATACTTTTTATGACAATTGATCAAGGATCTGATATGTTATATTCCTGCATCCTAATGTAGTACCTATACATTTTCCTTGAGTTATATTTTAAGAAGGAAATTTTCTTTTAATTTGACGACCGTCTGTAGCATTGGAATTATGTTAACAACCTTAATAACTAAGTTGCAATTTACCTAAAAAGATGTTGTTGTTGACGAGTAAGTGTGCAATTAATAAAAATTCCTCTCGAGAAACCGGCTTTTACATATGTGCATTATAATGGAGGGAATGAACGCAAACACGGCAGTTCATACCACGAGGCCTGCGTATAAAGAATGCAATATATTCCTTAGCGTGCCGCTTTGCTACAGGCCATCAAGATAGGCATCCATGCCCATTTACATCACTCATAAAGGACACGCGTTGTAATTCAGCTGATTCAATAAAGGTCCAAGTAGTACTCGTATAATACGAACAAACAACGTAAAGGCTCTTTTTTTTAATTTTCTATACCGGGGGTCCTCCAATTTCTTTTTTTTCTCTCAATTCTCATTTCGCAGTGAAATGGAAATTTACATCACTAGGTGCTCTTTACGATCGCGTCAATTTCCTTACTTCATTTGGTTTAAACAACTTTGGACCGCGTATGAAACTGCCATCGTAAATGTTTATTGTTTGAATTTACTTACATTTTAATGTCGGGGTATTGAGTAAAGTTGAAATTTCATTTTAATCGTTTCCTTTATATTTTAAAGTTTTATTTTTCCACCTTATGGTATTCAAATACTTGAATAATATGGATACGTAAGGTTAGATCGAATAATAATGAATTAAAAAAAGCGGGAAGGCTTCGGTATCTCGAGAATGCTCACCTTACTTCTTGCCCGTGTTGATGGAGTACTTACGTAGATGGATGCCTTTAATAGTGTTTTGAGGCCAGACAGACGTGTGCCGATTGGGCATAGTTCATGGAGATTGTTGGGCGCCCGGATTATGACATCTCTTGTAATGTTTATGTAGAATTATTCGCCCACACGTCATTGGCATGCATCTGGGGCCCGGTGTCGATAAATAAGATCGACCAAAGACCGGTCCACCCACCGTGGTGCCTCCAGCCTGAGCACCTTGCAAATCATGCGGATAATCAATTGCTGTGAGATTTTATTAGTTGGTCTCGAGTCAATTTTTATTTTCAGTTGCGCGAATTGGCCGATAGCGTAAAAAAACGTATTGTACTACAAAATACTAAGTGTGATAGGCATTTTATAACTGACGGTAGCCCGGATCGACAGTGAAAGGACGCCAGTCAATACAAATTTCAAACGCGATAAAACCCGTAGTTTTTTACATATTACATAAGAAGACCCCGGATTTATTACATAAGAAGTCATAATTACAGGAATCGGTGGGGTCAACTTATTCATAGCGGGTTATATATCGGAGTTCGTAGAAAAGTTCAATGTCAGATTGTGGTACAAATGAAATTTTATTCAATAACGCATAAAGTAAGAGCACACTAGTTCTTGTCAAACGTTAAAAAGTTTCGAAGATGTGTTACGTCTGCCAATCCGCGAGGTAGGTCTCTCCTGGAAGGCTCCCCCTCCCTTAAACCCTCTATACATAGAAGGCCTTTGCCTGGCAGTGGGACATATAGATGTTAATTATTAGTTTACGACACTATAATTTTATGTTGCAAAGCTTGGATCATCAGCAATAATTTAATCTTTCAAATTGTCAAATCATTTTTCAAATAGGTTTAACGTTCCCACAAATTACCCATCATGTAATGAAGTAACAAAATTCGCACCCTTCATGTGTATAATATTAATGAGTATATTTAATATGTAAAAACTTTGAATACATGATATGCAAATATGAAGTTGCGACGAAGACATGGTCATCCATCATGTCGACCAGTTTAGTTAGTTTGTTATCAAACTATCATACCTGCGCTTTTAAATTCTACTTGATGAATGTTTCACGTTTTAATTTTGTAACCACACTCGAAAACCGGCATTTTGTATCGCACCCATCTTTGAACCCAGATATCGCAACAAATCGCAGGGCAAGGCGACTTTAACGTACCATGGTGTTTAAAAATAGCGAGCGCGTCGCATCGAACCTCACTTTACGCGATAAGAAGAGGCGAAAACTTGAATATTTTTCAACCGAGTAGAAAAAAAGGAGGAGGATCTCAATTGGCTTGTATTTTCTTTTATGTTTGTTACCTCATAACTCCGACTTATGTACCAATTTAAAAAATTCTTTTTGGATTGGGTTCTGTTCAGCTCCAATGTGGTCCCATATTAATTTCATTGGTATTTCACCTCGGACTTCGGAGATACATATTGTATCAAATAGAAAACGTATTGTGAGTGTGATAGAAAACATATTATTTGAAGTCGGGTTTGTTTTTTGTCAATAAAAATATACTTGTTTAAAAAAAATAACGGCGAAGTACGAGTCCGAGTCGTACACTTAGGGTTCCGTACCATTATCTATAAAAACGGCAAAAAACGTCTCTGTTGAGCCCCACTTATAGAGTTTTTTTGTTCAGTTTTTTAGTATTTGTTGTTATAGTGGCAACAGAAATACATCATCTGTGAAAATTTCAACTGTCTAACTATCACGGTCCACGAGACACAGGCTGGTGACAGACGGAGAGACTGACAGCGGAGACTTAGTAATAAGGTCGGGACCCTTTTTAACCTTTATGTACGGAAAACACGAGGCGCATGCCTCGGCACCTTAGATTTTCGGGCTGGAAATACTTCGGTCCAATACCGCCGTCAGTACAGCGGAGCGGACGGAGCCTCGTGACGTCATTGTGCACCAGCTACGTTGTCCTCCCGTTGCACTTCCGGCGAAGCTGTCAAAGCCGGGCACAAACTGCGCTGTCACAAAAAAAAAAAAATACGCCGCGAATGAACGTTTAGCGCAAAGGTTGCGTCCGCGCAGTTCGTTCAAATCCCCGGCCCCCACTCCAGCCCAGCGGCCGCCAGTTCGCGCGCCAATGTGTCGTATTCTCTCTGTCCCTCTCGCGATCGCCTGTCTTCGATCGATATACGATTTTCCGGGGCGTTTCACAAGCTTTTCTGAATGAAAAGCATGCGTAAAGTGTATCACAAATAGTGCGTGTATCAGTGCGTGATTTAAAGCATATTCGGTAATTGTGTACAGTTGGAGGTTGTCTGTGTTTTGAGTAGTTCAGTGTTTGGCTGTTTATGTAAACAACGCTGCGTTGATCTATCGATCACGTGTTTTTCATTAACGGCGGTAAGAACTATTTATTAATCTATGACTATTTTAAAATAATTGTTTTTGTTTCACTCTTTATTTTACAAATTACAAACTGGTCGGTTTTTTAATTTTTTTAATTTTGTCATCTTTCTTGCATGAATTGGTTAACTTTTAGTAAAATCAAAATGATAACGGTGTGTTATTTGTTGTTCCATGTTTATGTTTTAGTATATTTTCCGGACCGCTAACTTCAATGTCAGAACGTATAAGGTTAGCAATGACATAATGGGTATGTAAATAACTTCGATATTTATTCAGTGACGCACGTCGGTGTTCAATTCATATTTGAAGCTGTTTTATGATAAAGTGTTATAATATAATACACATTATAATTTCGGTATTTCATGGTTAAAACATAAATGATGGAACAAATGAATATCAAATCTGAATCTATTTTTGGATATAAAACAGTATTAAATTGCACATTTTATTACGTTTCCTCAGAACAAAGAAATGCTCATGAGTATGACTTGTTATATTTATTTATTAATTGATTCGTAAAAGCAATAGTATTGATAATAAGTTATTGATTAGATATTGTCGAATGTTGTTCTTCAATAGTAATACTTTTAATGTTCACCCATTCAACGTATCCGACCTCACACAACTTCCTATATAACACTTTCACCTTGATGGCCATTTTTGTCTGCAAGGACGTTAATTAGCTACTAGAGGCATAGCAACCTTATGGAACATTTCCTCTTTCTTATCGATAATTTTGTCCATATTTATTCAGTTATTTTTATAGGTGAATGCCCGTTTTCACCATCGATCCCTAATTTTAAAGGACACCTAAAAATAATTAAGTGCTAATTTCGTTTTCACTACCGCTTAAGTGTCAAGCTTAGGGATCGTTGCTGAAAATGGGCATTAGTTTCTTTCTTGTAAGTGCTTTTACTCATATATGTCATAGAAGAAGCAATAAAAATCTATTTCTATGGTGCCTATGTATAAGTGTCGACGAATTGATTTAAATACAATACATATATTACAATTATATTATATTACAATTATATACAATATGTAATTGTATCTATCCTAAAGCGATGATATAACGCGAAAACCATTTTTTTTCAAGTCCTAAAGCATGTCACATACGCCTACGTTGTTTTTTTCTCGAATGATTAATTATGTAACGGTCTGTTACATTATGACTAATGTACAATTGAAGCCAGGGGTAAAAAGCGCAAATGATCTCACCGTTGTCTTTTTTTCTGCTGAAGCTCAGAGGCAAGCTAACTTTGGCAGGGGCGTCATAACCATAATTTCACAGCGGAGCAATACCCGCACCCACGCGTGTATTAACTAATTTAATTTCAAGTTGAACATAATTGTTACTTTGATTTGAAACATAATGTTTCTCAGATCTTTGATCTTTGCGATAAAGTCAACGCCTTTTATTATTTATACACATGAAATAAGACGTAACTTGATTACAATGTTTTAAATAAATGTTCTTATTGTTTAGTGTGACTGTTTTTACAATATGTGTTTAATATTTCTATCAAGTAATAAAATGATAATGTTCTAACTGGACTAATCTCTAAAAAGTCCTAATAATCGTTAATGTAGATGTAGACTGAATTTGTAGTTTATGGAGAAAACAGGTATGGATCATGTGTGCCAAAGTATTTTGTAAACGATTACTTTTTATCTGTCCCTCTGACCACCGCGTGTTAGTCAATCCAAAACCTGAGCCTAAATAGGACGCAAGTTTCCGAGTAGGCTTGAAATGTAGGTACCTGTAGTTTTCTTAGAAACTTAGTCATACTTACGCAGTGACTTATTAAGCTATCAGTACATTGCCATTACGGCAAGATATTTGTGGCTTAGTTATTTGCTTAGTAGTTTGAAGAAATGTATGGGTGAGTTAATATTGCAACTGCTCTATGTTGCAATATCGTTCCGTGCAAACTTACGGATATGGGTTTCAAAACTTTGACGTTGACTGGTATACAAAGTAGATTTACAGGTTAAAAAGGTATTGATATTGTCAAATATTGTGGGATCGATTCCTAGCGAACTACTATTTATTTAATGAAATATTTATCTACTCGTCTAAAGCCATAATTAACAATTAATAAACAAGTTATAAATACAATTAAACAACAGTAACTTATACCAACAAATAGAGTCCATTGTGTTATGTTGATATTAATAAAAAGGTTTAATAATTATGGTAGAATGAATCAACCAAAGACAAATCAAGATTGTGCTACAAAACTTATGAAAAAATAAACCCAGTATCTTCGGAAACCTTACGCAGTTTAGGAAACACGCGTTTAGTGAATACGCTGTAGTACAGTGTTGCAAACTCTTTGTAATCATTTTAGCGTGACGCTACTGACGCTGTTTCTATATTGCAACATTTTTTTATATGTTATGTATTTATTACAATTAATCTATGCTGTAATACTTTTTTGATAAAACATATTTTATAAAAATTATGTTCTCGATGCCAATAATTTTATTAAATATAATGAATAGTCATTAGCAACTCGGTCAATGAGTCAATTAATTTTGTTTCTGATCTATCTATCGTTGATGAAGTTCAATATTAGGATATCTTATTAGGATATTGTCCGCCTCACTCTCAGTTTACAAATATTTTATTCAGTTTAATCCATAGTTCAGTGTCTTTGTACAATGGTATTTTTAAATATGTTCTAAACTTAATCGCCAAAGTAATATTAAAATATAAACAGAAATAAAAAATCAATAAAAATATGAAAAAATTAACCTCGCGAACGGGTCATGTAATATTTAATATTATTTTTATATTGTCCATCATCATCATCATCATTTTAGCCTGTTTGAGACCACTGTTGAACATAGGCTTCCCCCACAGACTGCCACGAAGTAAGATAAAAAATAGTTTTTTAATCTTCAATATCATATATCAATTATAATTCAATATTATGGTATATATAGATATATATATATATATAAGACATTTCCACCGGTAATTGACTCATCAGGATAACTCTGGAACCATAAGGCGTAGAGACTTGAAATTTAGTAGGAGTATTCCTTTCGCCGAGTAGAGGTCAGCTAAGAACAGATTTTCGAAATTCCACAGAACAACGTTTGCCGGATTAGCTAGTATAGGTTATAAAAATGCGAACTAGGTTCATGCAATCAGTAACTAGCACAACACGCATGTAGTATGCATATAGATTATTCACATATCTCTTGTAATATTTTTCGTATCCTTATTATTATCTTATTTGGAATTAATTGATCCCTTATCGTATAATTATTAATACTTCGAACTTTGTCCGCTTCGTTAAATCGACATTGAAGAACGAAATCAAATTGAGACTAAGGAAGACCAGTATAAAATTAAAAATAAATATTTAAACGATTGTACCTTTACCATTCAAGATTAACAATATGTAGCCACTGCTAAAAACAATGTTCTCTATGTAGTAAATATGAAACGCGAATAAATGCTTGGTCTAACCTCAAAAGTAATTTTGTCTCGCACACGGCACACGGCTCGGATGTTAGCGGTTAGTTTAATTTAATTAACACTGCTTTTGAGGGAAGATAAGTAATATTTTATGAGATTTTCTTTATGTAAATGAATTCCGTAATTTTTATTTAGTTTTTTTTCGTTCAGTAATCAATTGGTTTCGAACTTTAAAGAACATTTTTCTTTTACTTTTATTACAAATAAAAACGTCAAGATATACATAAAATGATAATGAAATTCAATACGTATTCTAAATTTGTTTCGACCCCAATGAATCAAAGACTTATTCATGCAGTGAATATTAAAATTTTGGCGAGTCTCAAGTTTTTACTTATATGTATTACGATTAGTTTAAATTATTATTTGGACATTTATTGTTCATTTTTATTCGTGGTTTCCCACTTTTTATATTTTTATGAAAACGAGGACGAGTTACAGTATTAATTAAATCACCGAAATTGTTATCGATAATTATTGCACAACCACTTCTTTGTCTGCTTACGAATTAATTATAAATTTAATTAATGATTCCAACATTATATTAAAATAGAGCAAAGTTTAAATTTTCAGTTAATCATTATAGTTAAGAAAGAACTCTACCTACCTATACCAAACCGTCTATTTTAAGGTTTAAGGGGCATATACAAAAATACCATGTCACTTGATAGCATCACATAACCTTGTCAATGTTTTTGCGAAGCAACTCAAGCGCGGTAAGAACAGATGACATCTAGTATGCGGTATGTTTTTTGCGCGCATTCGTATTTTCGGAACGTGAAAGATTTCTTTAAAATTATTTAATTGGCAAAGCATGACCACGTGAAATCTAGATGATTTGTCATATTTCTTTCTCGTATAAAAATATTTCCATGGTTACAAATTAACGAGAATCAAATGCCATAATCTTCAAATCCCGGATTTTTAAATAATACATAAACGGTGTTATCACATTTAATAACAAACATATATGGTTGAATTTCCCCCTCAATGTTCTCGACATTCCGTCATGTATGCTACGTAGTCAAGCGTCCAATCCGTATAGACTACAATCTGAACATCGTTTTCCATAATTCATCACAACCCCCTCATTATTCCTATCACGCGCGCCGGCGTCGACTTTAACACGCAGCCCGTGAACAAAGGTTCACGACAAGGCTGACGTGGGACGAGCGACAAGATATGGCTCGCGAAACGCGTGGCATTAACGCGTATCGACACGGGCCGTTTAAAATTCGGGGGCCAATGTCGCTCTTAATTGGCATTCAAGTCGACACTGAGTCATTTTGTACACAGTTGATATATTTGCTCATTACATATTTTGTGGAGGGTTTTTTAATTAATTAAAATGTTCTCACTCGGAAGGAGGTTCTCACTTGTCATGTGTCGTCCACAGATATTAATTACTATTTCAATGATAATTTGACTTAGGATATACTGTTTCCGGGATTGCATATACAGTTTATACATATTTCTTTTTAATGTAAAAAGTTGCCAAACGAGC